GTGTGTGTAGAGCTTGTGTGTGTGTGTGTGTGTGTGTGTAGAGCTTCCTGCTGCCGCCAGAGGTTTGGCATTCCTCCTCCCACCCTCACCCCCACCCCCAATTTCCCTTGGAGACCTCCCTGTCCTGTAGCTCTGGCTTCTGACCTTGTCGCCCGCAAGACCCCTCCGCAGCCTTCAGAGACACTTCCTGTCTCTAGCGACCCACAGAAGCTGTTTGCTCCTCAGCCTGTCCATCCAGGGCAGGGCCTGAGTGCCTTGTCCTGACACAGGAGCCTGAGGGTGGCTGTCCCTGTCATCCTCACCCCTTCGCTCCTCCTCTCCGGGGAGGGACCCAGTGTCTCCCTCTAGCTCCAGGTGTGTGCCCCACGTCCCAGTTAAATGGGCCCTCGCCCTCTGGAAGTCTCCCTCACCCACCCGACAACATCCCTGGGTTCCAGCAACAGCCCCTCACTGACTTCGTGTCCCAGACTTGAGTCCCCACCCTGTTTCTGACTGACCATGCCACCAGCCTGTGGCCAAAGCTCTCTGAGGGTGTTTCCTCTTGTGTCCGGGATTGTAGCAGGGCCCCGCCTTGGGAGGTGATGATGCCTTGGGTGGTGTGGACAGTGTGTGTCCACAGTACTTGGCCACGCCGGCCCCCACCGAGAGTGCCATCGCAACGCTTGGTGAAGAGAGGGGAAACTAAATGAAAACAAGCCTCCTGTTTCCGGGCCTCTGGGCTGCTGACAACCCCACTCCAGCATCAGCTCCTTGGCCAGGCCCTCGGGGCCACCGTCTGAGGACATCAGACTGACTGAAAGGGCACCTCCTTAGAATCCTGGCTCCATCTCTTACTAGCTGTGTGGGCTTGGGCAAGTGACTTAAGCGCTCTGTGTCCCAGTTTCCTCACTGGCACAAATGGAAGTAAGGAGGGGTCGAAGGTTCACTGAGTTAACATAAAAAGAAAATAAATGAGAGAGAAAGAGAGGAGATTCACTTCCCCAAGGTAAAGGAGGGGGAGCCCAAGCTTCTTTTTCTTTTTTTTTTTTTTTGAGTCAGAGTCTCATTCTGCTGCTCAGGCTGGAGTGCAGTGGCACACTCATGGCTCACCACAACCTCGACCTCTTGGTCTCAGGCGATCCTTCCACCTCATACTCCCAAGTAGCTGGAACTACAGGCCCATGTCACCACCTGGCTAATTTTTTGATTTTTTTTTTTTTTTTTTTTTTTGTAGAGGCGAGGTCTCGCTCTTTTGCCTAGGCTGGTGTTGAACTCCTGGGCTCAAGCGATCCTCTCATCTCAGCCTCCCAAAGTGCCGGGATGATAGGCGTGAGAAATTGCAATACAATGGCAACGGAATCTCCTTCCTTGGCCCGCCTGGCTGCCCCTGCTGCCTTCTGGGGATGTTCTGTCTGTTTCCCATCTTCATCCTAATCGACCTTTGCCTCTTCCTGCTAGTTAGCTCCATGAGGGTAAGGTTTTTGCCTGTCTTGTTCACCTCTGTGTCCAGCACCTAGAACAGTGCCTGGCACAAGGTACCGAGCAAGGATGTGTTGAATGAATGGATGAGTGAATGTTCATGGTAGCCCCACAAGGCAGGGACTATAATGCCCATTTTGCAAATGGAGAAACTGAGGCTGAGAGGTCGACTGACCTGTGTGAGGCTGCATGACTGGGAATCCATGTAGCAGGTCACCAGTCATGCAGGACGCTATTTCCCTGACCTCGTGATGCCGGGAAGGGGTCCTCGGAGCCCCTTGGTCCCCGCTGCCTCCCCTTCCCCCGCCCCGTGCTCACCTCACTGTCCCTTCCTGTTCTCTCTGCAGGGCCAGCAGTCCTCAGGCGAGGACATGGAGATCTCGGATGACGAGATGCCCTCAGCCCCCATCACCAGCGCCGACTGCCCCAAGCCCATGGTGGTGAC